AACACTTAAGTGCTCATTGGATGCTCTCTTTAATATAGAATTATCTGATTCTGCGGATGGGAAATCCTTTCTGAAGTTTAGACTTTGATTCCCAACACTGGGGAAGGGACAAGACATTTTTGCAGTGTGACTAGTTGTCATATCCATTCCATCATCTACGAACGCCTCAGTAACATCCACAGGCAGTAGCTGCTCTGGTGGAGCTTCACAAATACCAGAAAACCTAGCTTTAACCTCAGCCGCCTGGCATTGTGTCATTTCCATTCCATCATCTTGCCCTCTAAAGATTTTTGTTATATTGCAGGTGTCCAGCGGTTCACGGGAACATACAAATTCTACTGACGATCGTGCCAGGCCTTCTGAGGCTTGCGAAGGGACAAAACAAACATTCTCTTTTTCAGATCCCTCAGGAGGATTGAGGACCTTTTCATTTGACTTCATGCTCATCAAAAATTCATTGAAATTTATTTTTTTTACGGGAATAGCTTCTTCCTTCTGTTCAAAAGATGGGCACGAATGGTTTGTAGGGTCAGAGAAAAAATGAAATTCTTTGCTCATTTCTGTCTTTTCATTGTTAGAGTTTAACCCAGCCAGAAATGAGACGATATCTATTTTCTCAGTTTTGTCAGCTTGATTGTTTTGCAGGTTACGTGTAATCACTGCAGTGTGACTAGATGTCATATCCATTTCATTTTCATCTGAAAAGATAACGGTGGTGTCAGGCCTATCATGCCACTAAAAAAAAAAAAAAAAAAAGAAAAAAAAGAAAAACTCTCTTGTGCATGCCCACAGCCCAAGAAATTACAGTTACTGACACTTAAAACAAATGATACAATGGTTTATGCTATTTAAAACAAAAGGCAGCTAATGCAGTCCTAAGGTTACAGCTCTAACTTTACATCTTCTTTTTGGAAAAAAAAATATTTATTTCAGTCCCCCACGATAAGCAATAACACATTCAGGGAAAGGAGGACAACATAATTATTAGAGCATATCATACTTAAATAGCTTTTTTTGAAAGAATGTGCTTCAGTTTTGCTGTTGGGCAAAGACTTCCTATCTAGCCATCTCTGGGTAAGCATGGAACAGTTACTGAGTCTCACAGATCGGTATTTTCTAGATCTCTACAGTGTGGTTTCCGCCTTTTTTTTTTCTCCCATAACTGCAGGTAAAAATCTTGCCCAGCTTATCCTGCGTGCGCCCCAAAGCAGCAGCACCAAGCTGGAAGTTTCAAAAGACTTTTCCACTGCTGACTAGGGAGATTTCAGTCTCTTTAATAGAGAGGATTTACAGCTTTAAAGCTGTAGGAAAAAAATGGCTAATAACAAGATATAATACTCTATTTTATAAAATATAATGAATATATTAAGAACAGCTTCATGTTTACTCCAAATTACATATGCTATTTTATAAATGCAAGAAATTAAATCTCCTAGAGGATGTACAACCACATACATTACTCAAAAGAAGGAGAGACAGCTTCAGTCCGACCTTTATGGCCTCGTGGTACGTATCTTCTCATCCACACTAGATTTGAACTGGTTTGGTTTGGTTCTTAACATTCGTTAACAAGAGCTAACATATTTTTAAGCCATATCTTTAGACTCAACATAAAAGTCAGAAGCCATTGCAGGAAGGGAGGCTGTTTGGACCGTTGCTTTGTTTACCACATGCTATAACATCATCACTGAAGCGTAACACAGCTCAGGAGTTCTGTGCCATCGCGCCTGCGAAGGTCTTAGCTAAGAATGTTGTGGTTTATCACTTGATTCACCTGAAGAAATTCGGTTACCTTTTCATGCTAACCATCGTAATTTATCTAAGGCTTTTTAACAGCAGGAACAGAGAGTACATTGGTGCATATCCATTCTGCCCACAGACAAAAAAAATACACAAGCAGAGAGTAATACATGTGAAAAAATAAATAACCAGCCCTATCTGAAACATAAGCTCCTTTGCATTTTCTCAGGTAAGAATTGAAAAGAATGGAGGAACTAGCTCTGATACTGAAAAATCAGCAAGCCATTTCAGAAGCAAGGGGTATCACCACTGCAGTATAATGCCTATCAGATTAGGAAAATACTTCAAAATATACAAGATTAGCTTTCAGAAAAATGTTATGTGAATACAAGGATTTATTTTTTAGGCAGTTGATTAAACTATTTGTCTTTACTACACAAATTATTGGAATATACTTTGGACACTGATATTTTCAGTAACAAAAAAAATAAAAGCCTTCACATACCTCAGTCTGCTGCACCGATGCCTGGATAGGAGCATGAAGCAAAGTGTTCATCCCTGTCAAAAGAAAAGGAAATACTCCATTTGTTGTGCTATTTTCTTCTTATTTTATCCACTAAGCTGAAGACCTATGCGCACGTTTTAAAAATACCACTAGGTAAGGACAATTAAACCCAAATATATCCTGAAAAATATTTTCAGTGGAAGAGCTACTCGTACAACACAAGGCTTGTAATGGCTTTATGGGACAAGCCTGCTCCTGCAATAGGTGTCTCAGTCAGGGAGACTGTTGTAAGAAAGTTAAAATTATTCAAACAGAATCAATAGTTTCAAATAAAGATAGTAATTTTGTTATTAAATCTACTTCCAGACTCACCAGTGATCTCACACGGAACAGCTTCAAGTGCTTCATTTCTGCAAAAGGTGGTTTAGGTAAATAGTTTGTTAAAAGATTTCAAAAGAGAAGGCTTCAGCAATGTACTGAAAAGGCCGAGAATTCTGTTGCCTAGCTCAGACAGGCCCGGGCAGCAGACACCTGACACTACCTGTATGCCTCTAATATATTCTAATTTGAGTTGCAACTTTATTTTCCTATGAGATTCTCTCATCTTAGTGTGCCACAAGCCATTGTTCGACATACAGATGGCATTTTAATTCCTCAATGACAAGTAAAAAAAAGAGAAAATATTACTTCATTGTTTTGAACTCAGATGTTCCACATTTCGTTAGTCCTTTCTCTTTGGAGAAGAATGTAAGAAATCCCCCTTCACACACAGAACTGTCTAAATCTGTTACTTTACTTGCCAGGTCATTTTAATTTTAAAAATTCCATAATCAGGTTTTATTTAAACAAGAACTTTGAGGACAGACTGTATCTGCCTCTGAGGGAAAAAGTTCTGTTAATAAATACCGAAGACTATGTCTGTCAGATATGGAATCTGGTAGGTCTGTCCTGGAAGACATTCCCAAGCAATCTGGTTTGGAAGGAAGGAATGTCAAGCAATAGTTGTTCAATTTTTCAGAAACCGCTATCTTTTGTGAGTGACCAACACAGTTATATGCTTTTTATGCTGTATCCCTCCTTTCACCAGCCAAAAGCACTGCACAGTTTTATATCTGAATAAATCCTTTGAGCAGTAGTACTTCGATGGTTGCACATCATGTGAAGAAATTATTTGCATGACAGAACACTACAATCATGAGAATTTTTTTGAAACTTACTGATTAAGCAGGATATCATTCCTCGTATCTGCTTCACGCTCTAAAAACAGTAAGGGAATTAGACATTACAATGTGAGAAGCATGATCTAAACTTTCCAAGACAAGAGTAAACTGCACAGAAAATAAGGTTCTGAAGTCCTCACTCTCAATGTGCCTTCTTATCGTGGCAAAAACCCAGAGAAGCACAGTACTTGAAAATGCATTAGCTTTTCAGATTCCTTCTGAATCATCTCTGACAGTGTGAATATGCCATTCTGCTCAGCCTTCTTTCCATCTAAATCCCCAAGGCAGGTTTTGTTCTAGGTGCATTTTGTCGAAGAAAATAATTCCTTTTCTGAGCTACAAGGTCCACAATACCAGTAACTAATGGGTTTTCAGCCAGTCCATGATAAACCGCTGACCATTTTGTTCCTCACCTGTGACTGTCAGGCCTGACTTCTTAAATTCAGGCTAAAATCTTGTTGCTAATAGTCTGCGAATTCTATCAGGAGAACTGAAAGGAATTTTACCTGTACTTTCCGTCTCTGACGTGTTATTCTTAAGATCTTGGTGGAAGACTCTGCAGCTAAGAAAAAAAACAACCCCACAAACCCACTCAGTTTTTGAAAAACACAAGACCATCTGTTTTGAAGCAAAGAAAAAAAAAGTAAAAAAAAAAATCAGCCCTAATGTAAATCTTTTCCACATGGTATGTTCTGAAATGATATACGAAAAGACAGCTTACTGAACCCAACCATGTTTTCTATGGAAATGCCATTATTGTACTTAAGATGGAAATCACTAAAAAATTTAATGGGAAACAAAAATTCCTAATTATATTAAATTCACTGATTTTTATTTTTTTTTAATTAAGAGAAAATTAATAACGGCTCTCTTAGGGCTCAAAATCAACTCCATGTAACAACAGACACCAGTTTGCCTTTACTGAACACTCACAAAGATATGCAAACAGCGATTTGTGGGGGTACCAGATTATCACCTATAGCCTGCATTTGATGCTCAAATAAAGGATGTAGATCTGCATCCTTCAGATCAAACTTACTTTATGGTGTTTGCAAAGCTGACACGGCGAGAGTTTTTCCTCCGTTTTTCTATATTGATATCCTGACGATAGAGAACACAACAGTTTGATATACAGAGAACTGTTCCGATTCCATAAGCCATTAGAAGCATAGCTTTTCAGGAAACACAAAAACAAAAAACTACGCTCCCCTAAAATAATACCGGTTACAGGGATTTTTGTCTGGCATATTGTCTGGCATACTAAGGAAAATATATGTAGTTGCTTAGCAAGAGAGTTGCAGGATTTTTTTTTCTTTAGTTTTCTGCTACAAGGACTGAAAAAAAATAGTAATAATAGTTTGTCTTTATGGGAGAAAGGGAAGGATTCACGACAGAATCAAAGTCACCATTTTCCTTAGATGGTGTCACTGACTCGATGATGATACCAAAGCAACGTTACAAGGTATGCAATGCTGCAATATTGCATATATTGGAAAGCTAATTCATCACACCACTGCTGTGCACTTGTCTGCAATACACTTCCCCCTAACTAACTAGTCAGTCTCAGGACAGTGGAACGCTTGCTGTTTAAGAAAACACAAAGTATTAACATACCAGGCACCGCCTGTTCTATGCACATGGCTAGCAAAGCCTGTAAAATACTTAATTTTTTAAAAAATCACATCAGCAGTACAAGCAGCTATGAGTCATGTCACAGTACTGTATATGATAGCTTTATATCGCTCACCAGCAGCACTGCCCAGCGCTGTTAACAGGTAGTAAAGTTTAAATGAAGATTGTGAGCCACTCGTCATACTCAGCTCAGTTTTGATCTAGATGTGCTGTGCATGAATATTTCAGGCTCATTTTTCATATTCTGAAGAAATTATTACAGGCTTTTTCACTGAAAGCCTTACATGCCAAAAATGAGTTTTCAAGTTCTGCAATCAGCAACAGATCAATCATATAAATATACGATGCAACTAGAACATTAGTCCATAAAACACACCCTAGGTAGCTAGCTTTTACTTTAAATAAATTGGGAGGCTGATGTTTTTTCAGATGTAAAACCATCTTACTGACTGTATCAGTTTGTACACTGGTGGACCAAACTTCAAGTCAAATGGACCACAGGAGAAGTAAGTTGTGCCTATTAATCCCTCTTTATTCCACTTTTTTTGATAGAGGACATACTCTGATGTAAAACAGAAGTATAACAAAAACTCGATGGATTTCTTACAATATTTAGCACTCCAAACATTACCCTCCTTAACAGTTATTACAAGAGTTTTTATACCTGCATTATTCTAGTGACACAGTTTAATCAGCGACAAGTTAAGAACATCATCAAGAAAGGACTTAATAGACCTACCTGCGTCAGTTCATTCCCATTTCCCAGATCATCCAGAGGATTTCGTGGAGCCTTTAAAATCTAAAAGAAAATATAATAGCCAAGAAGATCAGCCCCAACTACAAGAACTGATTTGCTTGGCTGGAAAGAATTTATAAGAGCCACCAGTGCCCCAGTCAATCGTATCAATCTAATAGGCTCGCTCTTTGCTTTTGGAATGTTTTTCTTCAACTGGGATAAGAAAATAATTTCCTCTTTCTGGCTCCCCTTTCTTTACTTCACTCACTCACATGGTTTTATTTTGAGAAATGCCTTAAGCTACTCACAGAGGACAGTCGCTTCCCTCTGAAGTGCTCTGTATTATCACTGGAAGGGAAAAAACAGAAACAGGTATTAGGGCATAAACTTGAACCAAGATGTATTTCTTGAACAGTACTGCCACGTTTTTCAGGTAAATACATCGATTTCTTCACTGTTTTTAAAAGTGTGAAATTAAATAATCAGGCTTGCTTAGAATAGATCATTCATTCCAGTAGTGGTTCCAAAAATAAGCTCTGGACAATTCAGTAGATTGCCTCCCAGACCCCACGGTCAGCCCGCTGCTATGAGATTTCCTCAGAGCTTTCATACACATGATCAAAGAAACTCCCTGATCGTCTTCTTCAGATTGCCTCCCAGACCCCACGGTCAGTTAGACTCCAGACAGCCCGCTGCTGTGAGATTTCCTCAGAGCTTTCATACACGTGATCAAAGAAACTCCCTGATCGTCTTCTTCACAATGGAAAACATATTTCATTCAAGAGATGCTCCAGGCATTAAGGAAAATTTTGCCTTTAAATGGTAATATTATACCACAAGAAAATTCTTAGAAGGTTTCAACTTACTTTTCCATGTTAGGGTCTGCATAAATTTTGTCCATTTCTGCAGGATGTGCTTTTCCTATAAAATACAGTACTGAAATCCAAAAATATTAATGAACCTCAGTAAGAAAATGGCATACAACCACAATAGATACTAGCCCTAGATGCTATCATT